GAGGCCCCACACCCGCCCCGGAGAGGCAGCTGAATGCCGGGCAGAGCGCAGGTCCCAGGGATGGCGGGGGCCCGCAGCCGGGCCGGGTGGGCCGGCGCAGGGCCCCTCCACCCGCCCCTCTTCCCTCTTCTGATGTTCACAGTCTCTCATTCTCTCTCTCTCTCTTTTTGAAAAGATTTTTGCCATAGGGAGTGTGTGCTTGCCAGAGAGAGACAGAGAGAGATAGGGAGAGGCAAAGTGAGAAAGCATCCCCCAGAGGGAATGGCAATGCTACAGTCCCTTCTCCTTCATTCTCCTCTTGGGTTATTGGGCAAGCACACACATGTGCCTGGCATGATTTGCAAACCACCAGGTCTGGGACTTACACTGTGATCAGTCATGTGGGAGTCTAGTACCTTAACCACTATGCCACCTCCTGCCCGCAATGTTCACAGTCTTAAAAAGTATTTTTTTAAAAAATATTTTTAATACTTTGCCTGTGTTTTTATTTGTTTGTTTGATTCTGGTCAGAGGATAAATCATCTTTGCTGGGAATGGAAGTGGTATGCTGAAATCTTTAACATCTTAAATCAAGATTTAGACAATGTGAAATTGACCATAACATGGAGACCATATGACCATATGGAGACCGTAACATAGGTAGACTCTCTGCCTACTGGTTTCAGTTCAGTAAATTGGAACACTTTCTGGATAACCATGTTCTCCTAGCCTTCAGGGTAACTATGCCCTAATAGCCTACTGATCAAATTGCTATGATACTCAATGAGGCACTTTTCTTTTCTTTGCATAACTTTTAAACAGGCTCTCTAAACACATGAGATGAGATAAGATGATGAATCAGTTTAAATATGGTGGAAAGTGTTTGCACTGAGATCTATTAAAAACACAAAAAATCCTTTTAAATGTAACAAATGAATTGTAAAACACCATTTTTCTTTTTGTAGAATACTCATTAGCATGGTATAAACTTCAGAAAGTATTGTGTAGCAGATATCCTTTGTGTGGTTTATCTTTTTTCCAATGGTATCTATTAAAGTGGATGGTCTATATTACTTAGCTGCGATAAAATGACTTACAATTTTGACTTATTACATTAATAGTTACTCACTTTTACCTAAATGCAAATGAATTGCTGTGTTTTATATTTATGATGCTCTTGACAGTGGTAACTTTCTATAATTAGTGAGTGTGCGGTTGAAAAGAACATTAGAGCTCTATAGAGCTTTTACAGAGTGAATGTCTGAGGATGATGCTTTGAATAATGAGCAATACCAACATTGTAATATTTTGTCTTTTATTTTGATTCTTCTTAGCCTTAAAGTTAGCTTGAAAACTTGACATAGAAAGAGTCAACAACCTGGACCAGCAGATGGTATAATGGTTACATCACTGGACACCCACATAGTTGACAATGCTTTGAGTCCTGGAGCTGGTGGCTTAAAACTCATGTCAGGTGTGTGTGCGTGTCTGCCTAAAACCCCAAGGGGAGAATGGAGAAGGAATTGTGGTGTGGCCATTCCTCCTGGGGTGTGATTGCTCACTTCCTGTCTTTCTGGTGAGTACACACGCCCCATAGCAAAAATCTCTCTAAAAAAGTTATAACGTCAACAACCATTTATGAGTGGTTCCTGCTTGTATAAAGAGAATGGATATCTCCACAGTCTTAGTTCAGAAAAAATTATGAGTAGTTCCATTCATTCCCACTAAATTAGGATGTTGGAACTTCTCCTTGCATCTTACCCATAGCATTATAATTGGTACCTTGGTGCTCTATCTTCTTTCTTATGATTTATAATCACCTTGTGATATTATAAGGGAGCTTGACTGTCTGTGGTTGCTAAATAGAGCCAACCAAAATCTAACGATACTGGTGGTTTTCATTTGTACTGGAAAGTCACTGGGCAAAAATGTAGGCTGATTTTGAAGGGACATCCTTCAAAACAATACTCAGGACAGGTATGTTCAGGCTATGAACAGTGCTTGCTTGAGTGGAGGCTGCTCAATCTGTGTATGGGTGCATGGATTGTCTCTTAATACTTTCATATCTGTCCCCCAATATCCTAATCCTTATTCCAGGACCCCCATTTATCATTTCATTTAGAAGGTTATAGAATTAATCTGCCTGTAGTGTTAAAAAGTGAGCCTTGGGAGGTGATTAGGATTAGATAGTCATCAGAGAGGGACACTCACGGTTGAATCCTGGTAGCTTTACGTGAAGGAAAGAGACCAACACAGTCTCAAAGATATAGACATAGTCATTGCAGCTCTCACATGTGATGCCCTGAACCACCTCAGAACTCCAGGGTCCCTGCCTATGAGAAGGCCCTCACTAGATGTGGCCCTTTGACTCTGACTTCCAAAAATGTGAGCTAAATAAACCTGTATTATTTATAAATTATCTAGACTCCAGTCTTTAGTTTTTATACCAACAGAAGAGCGGACTAAATCAATGATTTTTTATTTTTCCTTCCCAAGTCCTTTGCTTATACCATGACCCCTCTGAGAGAGCATGTTGACTTCATGGGTTTGTGACCTGTTCAGTAAGTAGCACAGGTCCCTGTGCTTGGTTTAATGTTCTCAAGAGCCATTTGGATATTACTAATCAACTTGAATAAAGGCCTAGGATGTTCATTTTACACTGGGCTCCACAGAATCTTAATTTTTTTTTTTTTTTAATTTGGCATAGAGCACATGTAGGCCTGAGAGAGAGAGAGAAGGAGGGAGGGAGGGAGGGAGGGGGAGATAGAGAGAGAGAGAGAGAGAGAGAGAGAGAGAGAGAGAGAGACTCTTCACAGGCTCAGGTCATGCTATGATTTCCTTCTTCCAGTCCTACAGTCTATCAGATTAGATACTTGTGTGTATTTCCAGTGTGTATCAAGGATGACCAGGCTGGGGAGACCACCTGCAGTCACCATGTGGGAATGGTCTCCCCTAAGCAGCACTTCGTGGCTGCACCACAGAGCTGACCCAGGGACCCACAAATGCTGTAGCCAGTCCTCTTTGAGAATGATTATATTTAATGTCTGGATCCTGGAAAGATCCAGCATAATGAATAAATATATTAAGACCAGCAGATGGCATAGTGGTTATGTCTCTGGCCTCCCAAGTAGTCAACTGTGGTTTGAACCCCTGGCTCAGTGACTTAAAACTCACGCTGGGTGCATATGGTGTATGCCCAAAATCCTGAGAGGAGAATGAAGGAGAAGGGGCGTGATTTCTCACTTTCTGTCTCTCTCTCTCTTTCTGTCTCTCTGGTGAGTGCAAGTATCCTGTAGCAAAAATCTCTCAAAAAAATGAATGAATATATTTGGTTTGAAAAATTAGAATGTTAACAAATAAATAGCGTTATTATATTTTTGCCTGTATGTGGAGTGATTCAAAGGGTGTTCTGAGTTATCTTTATCTCTGTGTCAGCTGGAGTATATTCCTGAGTAACAATTTTGAGAAAGTATCTGGAATATAAGTGATGATATGTAGATAGGTTTTTAGAAGAACTACTTTATATTCAAACTGGATATGAAGTAGTCTTTACCTCTCAGTGTTGGCTAGGAAAAGATTTGAGTGATTCTACTGTATCTGACCTGTGTGTTAATTATTTATGACTGAGAGAGAGAGAGAGAGACAGAGAGAGAGAGAGAGAGAGAGAGAGGAAGCTATGAAGGGAGAAAGGCAAGTGAGGAAAGGGTGAGAAAGAAGATAGAGATTTAAAAATGCTGGATCTTTGGGCCAGTAGGTGGTATAGTGGTTAAGGTACTAGACTCCCACATGGCCAGCTGTGGTTTGAGTCCCAGACCTGGCAGATTGAAACTCACACTGGGTGTGTGTGCATGCATGCCCAAAATCCCAAGAGGAGAAGGGAGAAGGGAGTGCAGTCCTGTAGTCCCCGCGGGAGGGGGGGAAGGGGGGGCTGGGCTAATTTCTCACTTTCTCTCTCCATCTCTCTCTGTCTCTCTGATGAGTGTATGCTATAGCAAAAATCTCTCTCCAAAAAAAGATTGGATCCGTTTGTTTAATGGAGAGGACCAGCTGGGCAATGGAGCATTACAGTACAGAACTATTAGAAGAGGAAACATGAGTTGCTTAACATAATGTAGGTGGGAAAGGTAGCTAGGAAAGCTTTCACAGTTTAGGTACAGTTTGATTTTAGCTTTTCCTAAGTTCAGTTCTTTGTTGAGATTTTTATTACATCTTTATAACTGAAACTGACTTCCGGGAATGGAAAATCTCTCTTTCATGTTCTAGAATGAGTACGGAGAAGGCACCCTACGCCAAGGCAGCAGCAATAACGAACTGACAGCTGCACAATCTACTTTGGCTTGCCATGATTGAACTATATCATCTTAAGTCATTTAGCCTTTCCAGACGTGAAGGTCCCTTCCAGGTCTAAAATTCTGTTCCCTTCTTCTCTGTTCCCTTCCAGGTCTAAAATTCGTGAGTCTTTGTTACGAGATACTGCACCCTGGTATTAAGGAAATGTTTACATTTTACTGCTGAAAGTTATCCTTCCCTAAGTGAAATTGACAGTCTCTCTGGAGTTTGCCGCCTACGACGCGTACTGGCCCTTTAAAAAAATTTTAGCCAGGCAGGAGGGCGCGGCCGGGGCCTCCGGTGCCCGCGAATCCGGCTTCTTCCGGGGAAGTCGCGAAGGCCGGTCACATGGCATCCTGGGACTTGTAGTTCCGCTCTGGCCTCTCTCCCTTGGTAACTCCTTCTCTTGAGGCCGAAATGGACTACAACTCCCAGAAGGTCACGCGGCAGCAGCGGGGTCCTGGACACTGGCTGCGGCTGGGCGGCTAGTTCAAGTTGCCATAGCTGCGAGTCTGAGGAGAGCACCGTCGGTTGCGCCGCAGCGTTTGGTCAGTTGCACCTTCTGGGCCACTGCGAGCCGCGGGAGCCGGGAGGGGCCTCGGTGATGATCCGGCATTAGGACCTAGGGTCGTCTCCTGTCTCAGGTACCTGCCCCACCGCCCCCTTGTCCTGTCTCTACCGCTTCCTTATCTTGTCTGGACGTTTCGGGTCCCACTTGCTCTCGTCCCGGGGTGAGGACGCCTGAGCTGCGCGGAGACCCGGGTGGGGCGGTGGGTGGCAGTGTGCACCTGGTGGGGTGACGGCGAGGCCGGGTGTCCGCAGTCAGGGCCTGGCCGAGTTATCTGGTGAATTCGGACTGCGGTGCCCGCCTCTTGGGAGCAGATGGCGCTGCCGCTGGCATCTGTCTGGGAGATTGGACTCATCCCCTAGTCCTCCAGCAACCATCTGGCGTTTGCTGGCCTTTCCTGGGCTGTACTTACTCTTTGGTACCCTTCTGTAGTTACAGCAGTTCGCTGGCCCTCGAGAATGCTGTATTAGGGATCCGTCTTCCTGTGCGATCAGGGGACTTGCCTCCGCCTTAACTGCTAGCAGCTTCTCCTGTGATTTACTTCGTAGACGCACTTGACATTGAATCCCAGCTGCATCCTTTATTGGCTTGATGGAGCCAGGCTCTTAACGCAGACGTCGAGTAAAACCTGACCATTACACTTGGCAAAGATTTACGTAAACCTGTCTTAACATCGTGCTTGGCACAGTGCCGGCGCTCAGTATTTGTTATTTATCTTGGTTAATTATGCAGAACAATATTGTCCAATAGAAATATATAATGGGGGTCACATAGTTCATTTGACATTTCGTAGTATTCTTATAGTTTTCGAAGTAAAACAAAATCGGTGAAATTGTTTTAAATTATTTAGCACCGTATACATACTGCAATATTTACATTAAAAAATACTAAATCTGGTGCGTATTTTACAGGTACAGCATGAGATGATTCAAACTGGCCAGTATCTATTGCTCAGTAGCCATATCTGACTAACAACTCCTTTCTGTGGTCAGCACAGAGCTAAGAGTGAAGCTCAGGCAGCTTCACATTGGCACAGAGCCATTTGGTTGTGCCTGTGGCTCGATGGGTGGAGATTGCTGCTTTGTTAGAAGAGTGAAGTGTGTACCATACCTGTGTCTCTTCAGCATGTCCTTTTTTTTTTTTTTTTAAAGAGAGATTTTAGCTATAGAGCCCATGCGTTCACTGGAGAGACAGAGAGACAGAAAGCGAGAAATCACCCTCTTGAGGGATGGCCACACTGCAACCCTTTCTCCTCCATTATCCTTTCAGGTTTTTGGGCATGCTTGCACACATACCCCACACAAGTTTTAAGCCACCCGGTCTAGGGCTTGAGCCACGGTTGACTATGTAGGAGTCCAGGGATGTAACCATTACTCCATCTGCTGGTCTCTTCGGCATATCGTCTTTGTCGTTGCACAACCTGGGTCACTTTGAACTATCTCTCAACTGTTTTTTTGCTTTGTGTGTGTGTGTGTGTGTGTGTGTGTTTTGCTGTAGATTGTGTATGTTTTCCAGAGAGACAGAGGGAAAGTGAGAAAGCACCACACGGGGGATGGCCACACTGCCATCCATCCCTTCCCCGTTTCTCCTTTTGGGATTTTGGGCATGCATTCGTATGCATGGGATTTAAACCGTACTGTCAACCATGTAGGATCCAGCCACCTTAACAACCTTGCCACTGGCTGGCCCCTCTCAACAGTTTGTTTTGATTAATTTTTCCAGAATACTTTATTTTATTTATTTATGTATTTGTTAAAATAGTTTATGGGTATAGTTTTAGATCTACCTTTCACGTGGTCAACTCCCAGTCTAAGTTCTTACTGCTTTGAGAGTGGTCACAAAAAATTGAAAATGTTTCTACTTAAAAAGCCTTTCTTCCGGGAACCAGCAGTTAGCGTAACGGCTATGTCGCTGGACTCCCACGTAGTCGACCGCAGTTTGTGTCCCGGACCCGGTGGCTTAGAACTCACACCGGGCGCGTGTGCGTGTGTGCCCAAGATCCCGAGAGGAGAATGGAGGAGAAGGGATTGTGGCGTGACCATCCCCCCTGGGGGGCAATTTCTCGCTTTCTGTCTCTATGTCTCTCTCTGTCTGTCTGGCGAGCGCACGCGCCCTATAGCGAAAACCTCTCAAAAAAAAAAAAAAGCCTTTCTTCCAACCAAAGACATTTTGCTTTTATTTATATAATTGAAATTACAATTGTGGGTAGTGGGCAGCTTATAAAATATTTCCTTTAGAAATGTTATCTGGTTCAGAAATAGAATTAAGCAATCACATTCAGAAGCAATTTTTTTTTTTTTTTACGTTTTGCTATAGGGTTCATATGCTTGCTGGAGAGACAGAGAAGACAGAGAGAGAGACAGAGGGAAAGTGAGAAAACACTTCCTTCCCGGGGGGGTGGGGGCATATTTCGATTCCGTCTCCTCCATTCTTGTCTTGGGATTCGGGGCATGCACATACATATGTCCCATGTGATTTTTTTAAAAAAATCACCCCCCAGCGGGGATGGCCATGCCACAATCCCTTCTCTTCCATTCTCCTCTTGGGATCCTGGGCACGCATGTACACGCACCCAGTGTGAGTCTAAGCCATCGGGTTCAGGACTTGAACCGCAGTGGACCACATGGGTGTCCAGACACATAGCCATTACGCTAACTGCTGGTCCCCCCATGTGATTTTCAAGCCACCAGGTCTGAGACTCAAACTATGCAGTTGGCCATGGGTAGTTCAGCTGCCTTAACCACCATGTCACCTGGCTGGCCCCAGAAGTAATATGTTAATTTTACTACCTGGCTACCAGCTGAAAGACACACTCAGGGATAGTCCTTCTGGCTAGACTTAGGCTACAGTTCACACCACCGCATGACCTCGTGAGCACAGAGGATGACCAGGCCTGGGCCCAAATTGGCTGTGAAGGATATGCTGGCTGGGCCCTTGGAATATGAAGAATTCCAGTGAGGTCACTTGGGCTTTTGGAACATTTTCTTTGTTTTGTGTCATGCTGTAATCTGTAAATACAGAGGGTGAGCTAATTTTCAGATTTATTGTTTAAAAAGATGTGTTTTATTCCCCTATTTCATTTATCTGTAGGTGGTTTGGGGAAAGTGTAGGAGCAACCAAAGATCATCTGCTTGACCAGGCCTTTTGCCCTGAACCTCATGAAGAAATGATAAGAGGCAGACATATGTGCCTGAGAAGAGCACTGAGCTCAGAGGAGAGCAACACGGAGTTTTGGGGGTCTACTTTGTAAGTATGCTTTCTCTCTGACTTTCTGAGAGAACAAATTTTTGCACATGTATAGTGAAAAAGACTGACAACACACAGACTTTTAGGAGGAAGAAACCCCTCTCTGATATCTGGTATAATAATTAGGATGGCTGTGCATGCAATGTTAGACAAATTCTGATGAACAAAATAGGTAAGTTGGAAGGTTTACAACAAAAAGCAACAATGTTGCAGCCCTTTCTGTTAATCAGCATTTTGAGAACCTATTTTGTCCCAGGCACTGGAGGTAGGCACCATTATATATAATTAAAAAAAAATTATTTAATTTTATTTATTATTTTAATGTCCTGTAGGGCATGTGCAGTCACCTGAGAGAGAGAGAGAGAGAGAGAGAGACAGAGAGAGAGAAAGTGAGAAAGGAAGCCTCCAGGTTTGGGACTCAAAGTGCAGGTGGCCATATGAGAGTTCAGTGCCTTAATTACCATGCCATCTGCTGCCCCCTATATATAATTTTAAAAATTATTTTTAATTAATTAATTTATATTCATTCACTGAGCATTGTCACAGCATACAAAATGCGATTTCCCATCCAGAATATACTGCATAGTGG